TGTTATTGATAACAGATACAAACTTTTGGAATGTGCAGTCACAATGCTAAGGTTGAATTTTTTTGAAAATTTAAGAGCGTGCATTTTTTTTTACTAATATGGCAATTTGAGATTTTTTTTGTAGGAGTTTATAAGTCAATGTGGTATGAACTAAATTGTTCAATGAGTAGAGTAATGTTTCAGTTGTTATCCAGTCAATGGCTGATAAACTCCTCCAAAAAAAAGAATCAGATTTCACCATTTCATATCATTAACTTTACTAATTGACTTTTTGTATGAATGATTCATTGTAATGTAATATAAATTGAACTGCACCACATATTTGATATATTATGAAATGGACAAAGTCCGACAATTATTTTAAGACATTTTATGTTTATACATTCTTTTTTATAGATACAAATATTTAAGTAATATAATAAACAGTTTTAACATTTACTGGCCCGAATGTTCAAGAAATTTTCATAGAAAATATGCATCCTCCGATAGAAATCAAACCTGTATGCTATACGGGACTGTAATATAGCCTGACGTGCTTTACCAATTTAGCCAAAGAAGAGAGTTTCGGTTAGCAAGGTTGATTTTACTGCTTTTAAACTACAATTCTCCATAATTTTCTCTTGTACATTAATATCTGCTCAATGCGTATCCAAATGTAAACAAATGACGTCACACATTATGAAATGGACAAATCCAACAATTATTTTAAGACATGGAGAATTGTAGTTTCTTTGCTTCCTATATAGCTTTTTATTTACATTTACATGGCAATTGTTCTCTTTGGTACTTGGACTTCATTTATGTAAGCATACTACTCGATTGGCAGTTAGGTCTCATTATTTTATGGTTGAAATTCCCAAGTGAATGCATAAGTTCTATTCTCTCACTCTTCTTGCCTATAGAACTCTTCTTGCCTATAGAACTCATCTTGCTTTCTTGTTAGCTATGATATTTAAATGCAGTGTCAGTCATCATCATTTTACTGCACTTTCTCCTTATTAACAGTTTCCCTCAATTTCAGTAAGTACTTGCATCTTAGTGGCTCTATTGCCTTGCTTCAGGTGAAATGATGAAAAAAATGGTCCCATTTAAAAAGAGCCATTTGATGGGCAGATACTACACTCTGATCCTAAATAGAAAAAATTCACAGTCATTGATACAAACAAGCATGATAAAAGTATTGATTATCTGTTAGAAAGTGTAACTGATTCCTGTTCAGAATGGCGAGGGATTAAACAGGTATTACACACTAATCCTAAGTCAAAAAGCATAATAATAACACTATAGAAACAAGCAATTAATAGTATAAATCAGAGTTTCCCAGCCTGGGTAATATCACCCACCAGTGGGTGATTTGAACTGTTGGGTGAGTGATGAGGAACTGAACAGAAAATGGTGAATGATTGTAAATTTTGGTGGGTGATATAGGATTCTGAGTATTAAAAAGGTATTTCAGCATATACTATACGAAAAAAATATTGAAAGGAGATATACAAAGAACCTGTATAAAAGAAAGGAAAAACAAAAAAGAGTAGGCTAAATTGGAATAACTGAATCACATTCCTAGATAAGATATAAATATCTACCCTGTAAACAACGAATATTTTCATATTTTCTGTAGTTATGAGAAAGGTCATTAACATTCAAATAGGTCTTCAGACGAAACATTTTTTTTTTCAGATCTAAATCATCCAAGGGAAGACCAAGAACAACAAAAAAATATTCGCTGAATTTTTATTAGTTGCCATTCGTGTAGATTCATTTTAATTTTATAATTATGAACAAAAATTGTTAAAGTTTTTGGTCAGCACTTACAATTCTAACTCTAACCATAAAACTAAATTAATATATATATATATATATATATATATATTAATTTTATATATATATCTTAACTCTAACTATAAAACTAAATTAATATATCTATATATTAATTTATATATATATGCTAACTCTAACCATAAAACTAAATTAATATATCTATATATTAATTTATATATATATGCTAACTCTAACCATAAACCTAAATTAATATATATATATATATATTAATTTATATATATATATAACTCTAACCATAAAACTAAATTAATATATATATATATATATATATATATATATTAATTTATATATATATATGCTAACTCTAACCATAAAACTAAATTAATATATATATATACATATATATATATATATATATTAATTTATATATATATATATATGCTAACTCTAACCATAAAACTAAATTAATATATATATATATATATATATATATATATATTAATTTATATATATATATATGCTAACTCTAACCATAAACTAAATTAATATATATATATATATATATATATATATATATATATATATATTAATTTATATATATATATATATATGCTAACTCTAACCATAAAAACTAAATTAATATATATATATACATATATATATATATATATATATATATATATTAATTTATATATATATATATGCAACTCTAACCATAAAACTAAATTAATATATATATATATATATATATATGCTAACTCTAACCATAAAAACTAAATCAATATATATATATATATATATATATATATATATATATATATATATATATATATATATATATATATATATATATATATATATATATATATATCAAAAGTGTGGATGGTCTTGTATGAAACCTTCACCACTATAATCAAATCTCATGTGTTGTTGTTGGGCTGGGTTTTTCCTGAAACTGATCTGCTTGGCCTTCATACATCGAAATCGACGGGAGAGTCGACTATATATATATATATATATATATATATATATATATATATATATATATATATATATATTATAATGGTCAAGGTCAACTTTTTTTTGTTGTTCTTTAATATGGTAGTAGCAACATAAGTCATTGTCATCTGTTACCTCAATTTGGTATTTTTTACACCATCATAAAGTCAGTTTACGAACCAGTAACAAACTTTTACCATACAATTTTTGTATGCTTTTGAATATTTACTATACAGGTGGTTGGGTAAAAATTTTTCCATGTTAAAGTAGATGATGCTGTAAAAAAGTTTAGGAACCTCTGGTATAGATCATATGAATACCTATGTTTGTAGTTATCCATTTAGCTTAACTTATGTATATGTATTGACTACCTTTGAGAGGAGACCTTGTGATAAGTACAACAAATACATTTCACTTTTCACACTGATAACGGGTACATTATCAACATCTCCATACTTCAATTCTATACTTCTAAAATCTTTGCCTAAACTCTGAAGTTTTATTTATTTATATTTTTTTTTTTTTCTTCAATAGTAGTAAATAGCTTCATATATTTTCTGGTTTACCTAATCTTTTGAAGAGGAATAGAGGTTTATCTCTTGTTTCCAGCTTGGGATTGGATTTTTGGTTACTTCTAAAATCTACTTCAATTCTATAATTCCGACATCTCCATCTAAACTCAGAATTTTTTTCTTATATATATATATATATATATATATATATTTAAGACATTTTTTTAAGTTTATACATTCTTTTTATAGATACAAATATTTAAGTAAATGTTCTGTTTATAATAAACTGAATTAGCAACATTTACTGGCCTGAATTTCCGAGAAATTTTCATAGAAAATATGCGTCCTCCGACAGGAATCGAACCTGTATCCTATATGGAACCGTCATATAGCCTGACATGCCTTAACTGATTGGTCCACAGAGGAGTTTTCAGTTAGCAAGGTAGATTTTACTGTTTAAACACAATTCTCCATGATTTTCTTTCATTTATTCATATCTGCTCAATGTGTATCCAAATGTAAACAAATGATGTCATACATTATGAAATGGACAAAGGCCGACAATTATTTAAAACATTTTTTATGTCTTAAATAATTAAAAACAGTAAAATCAACCTTGCTAACCGAACGCTCCTCTGTGGCCCAATTGGTTAAGGCATGTCAGGCTATATGACGGTCTTGTATAGGATACAGGTCCAATTCCTGTCAGAGAACGCATATTTTCTATGAAAATTTCGTGGACATTCAGGCTAGTAAATGTTGTTTAATATTGTTTATTATAAACAGAACATTTACTTAAATATTTGTATCTGTAAAAAGAATGTATAAACATAAAAAATGTCTTAAATAATTGTCAGATTTTGTCCATTTCATATAATATATATATATATATATATATATATATATATATATATATATATATATATGCATGTTTCATTAAAAATGACAGACAAGGTACTACAGTTAAGCTTTTTATTTAATTTTTCTTGTGTTCGAACAAGAGCTTTCTTTTCTGTACAAAGAGTGTGTAAAAACTGTCCAAATGTTTTATAGTTCCGAGCACTTTTAGCTATACCTTTAACCATTATCAAGGATGATTCAATTTTTCAGCTTAATTGAGTGTGTGCATTATGTGTATGTCTTAGTGTATAGGAGAGATGTTTTAATTTCTGAATATGGGTAGCACATTGTGGCCTTGTTCGTAGTTAATATTGTTAAGAGTTGGCTTTTTTTTATTATTAAATATATATATTGATAGAGAGAGTGGTGAGAGAGATAGAAAAGTACAAGAAAAATACAGAGAGATAGCACTAGAGACAGAGATTGAGCTAAAGTTAGAGAGAGTGAGAGAGAGGTTCTAAAGTCTACTATTTAATTTACTAATTATTTTATATTTTTTTTCCTCAACAGGAGTAGATAGATTTGCCTATTGCCCAATTCACACTCCTCCCTGGTCTTTTGAACAGGAGTAGAGGTTTATCCCTTGTCTCCTGTTTAGGACTGGGTTTCCAGTTCATTTAAAATTTTCTCATTCTCTTTTTACTCCCAGTATTCCTTTGTGTCTCAGTAGCTTTATTGCCTTCCTTGGGGTGAATTGATTGAAAAATCTTGTATAATTTACTGAAACGAAGTTGCCATTCTACATTAAATCTAATATTTGCCTCATCAGTTTGATTAATTACTTCATTAATTGCCTACCGTAGATCCATGTTTATTTGTTCCTTCACATCAAAATGTCTTTTCCCTCGTCTGAAATGCCGTGCATCTCATTTATCTCTTTTCAATTGTGCTTCCTTCAGTGAAAAAAAATCATCTCATGTACAAATTATCGAATAATGTTGAAATTATAACTTGATAATGTGATGACGTCTTTTCCCATATTAGCTTTATTGACTTGTACTTCTCATTTGGGACTGGGCATGTCTAAAATTATTCGCCCAATTCCTATCAAAGACAGTAACAATTTCACTTTCCGTTTGAGGATCTGTTTATGTGTGCGAATGCATGTGTGTTTATCATAGCACAACAAAAATGGCACATCATAGCACAGTGTTAGCTTAATATTGCGACAAGATACATTTTTTTATTGTTTCACTCCAAACAAGGCAACAAAGCCACTAATACGCAGGGGGTTACTGAGTCTGAAAGAATATAAGAAACACGTTATTGAGGCACAAGAACAATAAAAGAACAGGAATTAAGATGACAGATGATGATGATTGACATTAGATTTAAATTTTTGAAGATCAAACTTGACTGGAAAACAAGAAACCAGAAGAGAGTTCCACAAGTGAGAAGTGCGAGAAAAGAAACTGTTAGCATCGAACTTACAGTTACACCTAGCCATTTCCACTGTAAAATGATGAAACTTAGATGCCAAACTAGTATTGTGCTTGAATTCATAAAGTCTAGGTACCAAAAGAAAAAAGTTTATCAGAGCAATTACCATGAAAATATTTATAGAAAAGGCAGAGGGAAGCTATAATAAAAGAATTTCCAGTCCAAATGGAGCACCAATTTCCAAGTAATTTCCTGTTAAGTATAAATTGAAAAAAAAGAAGTTTACTTCAGGAAAATACTTCTAAGTCTATTAACTGCTAATTTTAAACATATTTTCCCCAGTTTTGTAATATGAAAATCAGATAAATAATCATGGAAGAATCCTTGAGCTGTCAGCACACTACTTCATCTGCCATAATGGTATAGTTGTGATAATCCTTAAATTAATAATAATACTAACCAAATATAATGATAATTAATATCTGTCTATATTTCTGAGATGAGGTATTATGTACATTATTTACATTATTCGGACTATTGTCCTCATCTTTGTCGTCATATTTATTACAACATTTCGGCCGTTTTATGCTCCGGCCTTCTTCAGGTGGTTGGAATGTCGAACTGAACCCTTTATTTCACTCACTGGGGTAGACTGTTCTAGTTCCACGTGCCATGTTTAATGGATGTCAGTTATCAGTTATCTCCTGTTAATTTTTCCCTCTGAAAGTTCTCCACTACCTTAACCGGGTATTGAACTCACACTCTTTGGGTCCTGTCACTGGATCTAACCAACACCTTTATCCACTGTGCCATGAATTTCAGGGTATTATAAACCTAATGTCTTCAGCAACAATTTTTACCATATTGCAATTTTTATCATTGTTATCATTGCGTGTTTTTACCAGAGCTCATATTGCAACTTTGTTGTTATTATCGCTTTTCTCTGGCTCTTCTTATTACTGGTTCCCATAGTGTATTTATTTCTATGCTTGGTTCATAGACAAGGAACATCATTGGAAAATTCATAAACTTAAGGAATCAGCACATATGCTAGGCCACAAAAATCTCCTGAGCCGACCAAGCATAGAAATAAATACAATATGGGAACCAGTAATAAAGAGTGCCAGAGAAAAGCGATAATAACATCAAAGTTGCAATATGAGCTCTGGTAAAAACATGCATGGTATCAAAAATTGCAATATGAGCACTGGTAAAAATGGTTGCTGAAGACATTAGGTTTATAATACCCAGAAATTCGTACACAGATGTCCTCAAGGACACATGGCTGTTGGTTAGATCCAGTGACAGAACCCAAAGAGTGTGAGTTCAATTAAGGCAGTGGAGAACTTTCAGAGGGAAATTAACAGGAGATAACTGACATCCATTAAACATGGCACGTGGATCTAGAACAGTGAGTGAAATAAAGGGTTCGTGTCAACATTCCAACCACCTGACCAGAGCGTACAACAGCCGAAACATTGTAATAAATATGGCGACAAAGATGAGGACAATAGTCTGAATAAAGTAAATAATGTGATAATTAATAGTTACCAATAATTTTAATATAAATTCTGTGATCTGAAACTGATTTAACGTCATATGGAGTTTGAAACCAATAATCATAAAATGTTTATATATTCATACCATAATATTTAGCTTCCTTTCTCCATTCAGGTTATATTCTATGACCCAATAGGAAAATAAATATTAAAGCTTCACTCATTTCAAAAGACTAATAGGGATAAAACTCAAGGCAGCAAGCTTGTTTTTTTTTTAATCTGACCTCTTATCCTTCACTCGCTTTTCTTTTCATTTTTACCCTAGCTTTCTTATTAGCCTCTACATCTGCTTCTCCTTTTTCCATTCTTACCCCTCTCTTGCCTTTCCCAATTCTGTTATTGTGTTGAAATAAACAGATTGGCAGTTGAGAACTACTGTCTGTATTTGACGCTCTTCACAGAACTCACTGTTACTAGCTTCTAATCTTAGGCAGATGTGCCAAGACAACTTTTTGAACATAGTCAAAATGAAGTTTAACCCTCTGTAGACCTGATGATCCATATGTATTTTTTTTTAATCATTTCACCTCAAGCAAAGCAAGAAAGCCACTAGGATGCAAGAGGTTACAGAATGTTAGAAAATGAGCAAAACTACTATTAAGGAGAGAGGGAAATAAAAGAACGGGAATTAAGAAGATAACGATTGACATTGTATTTAAATTTTTGAAGGTCAAGTTAAGCTGGGAAGCAAGAAGCCAAAAGATTTTTGATGGGCATTATGCTTGGTATTCTTCAGAGTTTTTAGAGTGGCAATTCACCCAAAACTCTAGAGTTAATAGAATTTGTTTTTGGAGACAATTAAAAAATAAAATGTACTGTTAAGGGCAGGGACTGAGCTCACAGCTTTCAGTCAACAAGCTACAGAATTTGGATGTAACGTCTGGTAACTGGAATAAAATCACTCAGTGGAGCTCTCTAAGAGCCTGAGGCTTTTTCTATCTAGACATTTATTTTTTTTTTTTTTTTTTTGCCTGTTGCCTAAAGAACTTTTGTCACTCGACGTCAACCCCGTTCAGGAATTTTGTCAGTTGTCCGATTGCTGAGAAAGTCAAGCAGAGAGTGAAAGAGAAGTTAAAACAAACAGAGAGACTAGAAGGGGGAAAAATGACTAAATTTAAACTACAAGATCAAATAAAAGGTGTCCCAAAAAATTTGACATCATTTCGTAGGCCAATAATTTTGGCAATTCTTGTTTGAAATAACCTCAAATTTTCACAGAATGTATAGAAACAGATCAAGATTTTATATTTAATGGAAGAGGACAGTACGTGTTTATCTCAATGAGAATCTGCCAGAGAAATGGGTCAGGCCTGGTGGAGATGAAGACAGTTTTCTGATGAAATGGCCACTGTGGTCACCAGACCTGTTCCTGTATGATTTCTTTTTATGGGGATATGTAAAGGGAGTGGTCTACGTCCCCCAATCTCTAACATTGATGAACTCAAACAGAGAATTACCTCCACACTGGATAATATTACCAGAGACATGCTACAGTGTGTTTAGCAAGAGCTTAACTACTGACTTGACTTGTGCCTTGTCGGGCGGTGCACATATTGAACACTTATGAAATTGGTCCCATAATAAACTTATGATGTTCAACACCCAAACCGTTCAATTTCATTGAGCTAGACTTAATAGTTTTCAAGATAATTGCTTTTAAAATGATGTCAAATTTTTTTTGGATACCCTGTATATTCATTGGAGTTAATAATAACTAAAAGCAAAGGAGTTAAATGTCTATATTTCTGAGATGAGGTATTATCAAGATTATTTACATTATTCGAACTATTGTCCTCATCTTTGTGGCCATATTTATTACGTTTCGCCCGTTGTACACTCTAACCTTCTTCAGGTGGTTGGAACTGATCCCTTTATTTCGCTCACTGTGGTAGACTTTTCTAGTTCCGCATGTCATGTTTTAATGGATGTCAGTTATCAGTTATCTCCTTTTAATTCCCCTCTCCAAGTTCTCCACTGCCTTAACTGGGTATTGAACTCACACTCTTTGGGTTTTATCACTGGATCTAACTAATGCCTTTATCCACTGTGCCAAGAACGTTAGTTAGATCCAGTGACAGGAACCAAAAACACATGTCTTTAATGAGACACATATATCCCTATATGGTTTTGGTGGGTGGAGTTGAAGTGAGAAAAATGTTTGGCCTTCTCTACTTTCTAAGGTCCACAATAGATGTTAGTTTATTCCTGATATACTAACTCCTTAAGGAGAAGGGCAAAAATAGCCCAAAGAAATAAAATACAAAAATGAATTTTGCTTTAAAAAATTTTTATATGCAACACTGAAATATGTCGTACTTAACTTGCAATAAACATAGAGATACATTACAAATTATTCCACTCTGAAAAGGTAAAACACGTATAAAAAGACAAGTAGTATACGCTGGCTATGAGTAAAAAGGGGTTTTATTTATGCTGTCTCCAATTTAAATAGTGCCATTTTAGTTAATTGCATCTTTTATTGATTAAATTGAGTGGTCAGGAGTTTATAATCATAGTTTACCTTGACTTTCACAGTTAGAAGACTTACGAGCATTCATAAATTTAAAAATTTGTAAACTTAACAATATTTCTACCTCTGTTTATAAATACATTTTGCAAAATAAAATCCTTATATTTGCCTTGATAAAGTCCACCAGAGTAGGATGAAATATGCTAGTAAAGAAAGGTTTGTCTTGTGTCTTTATTCATATATTCATATATATATATATCAGGTCATCCCATAAGTTCTGTCTGAATTTTGAATAAAGAAAATAAGTGACCAAATGTTACATTTAATTACAGATTCAATCAACAATGTATTTTCCCTGATTATCTATGACTTCCTTCCATCTATTAACAAGCTTACTAATTCCATTACTGTAAAATTCTTTTGGATTTGATTCGAAGAACTCACAAATGTCGGTTTTAACCTCTTCCTGTGTTACAAAAGCTGTTTCTTCCAAATGATTCTGTAAGCTACGAAACAAATGGTAGTCTGAAGGAGCAAGATCGGGAGAATAAGGTGGATGAGGAATTTTCTCCCAACCAAGTTCTTCGATCTTTTGTGACGTGAAACTTGCTGTGTGGGGTCGCACATTGTCCTGATGAAACATCACCCCTATTCGATTCACTAGAGCAGGTCTTTTTTTACTCAAAGTTTGGTTCAAACACTCTAATTGCTGACAGTATATTTGAGCATTAATTGTTGCATTAGGTGGTAAGAATTCAAAGTGGATTATTTCTTGGCAATCCCACCAGATTGAAAGATGAACCTTTTGCTCATGAAGTTCCTTTCTCGGCTGTGGCTGGGGTCCTTCCTCTTTACCAAGCCACTGTCTACAATGCTTAACATTTCAATAAAAGATCCATTTTTCGTCACCAGTCACAAGTCTATCCAAAAAAGGTGAAAGAAGTTGGCGAGAATGGAGAGAAGAGCAGATGTCAACTCGGGATTTGAGGTTGTTTTCAGACAATTCATTAGGCACCCATTTTCCAAGTTTAGAAACTTTTTTAAGTTGTTGAAGATGACGATGGACAGTTGTATGGTTTGAACTGAGAACCACTGCCAATTCCTCAACTGATAAAGCAGGATTTTCTTCAAGGGCTGCTTCAAGAAGCTTTTCATCAAACTCAACTGGATGTCCGGTTCGATCTTCATCTTCAAGGGTGAAATCTCCACCTCTGAATTTTGCAAACCATCTTCTGCAAGTTCTTTCATTCACACATTCCTCTCCATAAACTGAGTGAATGTTTCTAGCCGCTTCGGCTGCTGAGTTTCCTTTCTTGAAATCATAAAGCATTATGTGCCTCAAATGATTCTTGGGTACTTCCATGTTAGCAGGGTTTTAATCAAACAAAATTTAATTTTATTGTTCTCTGAAATAAAATTTGATCAGTTTAAATGCATCTAAACATAAAAATAATGTTCAGCTCCATTAGACATTATAAAATTCACTATAAATTTCGTTCATTTTACCAGAAAGTTAAAATTCGGACAGAAATTATGGGATGACCTGATATATGGTTTTTCTCATCTGGGTCTATTCTTCAAATCTACCATTCGTCTTTGCATTGAATACTGTTGCCATATATGGTTTGGTGCCCCTGCTGTTCATTTCCAGGTCCTCGACAAAATCCAGAGACAGATATGCAATATAATAAGTCCTGACCTGGCATCTCAACTCCAGATCACTTTCTTGGAGACATGATGTGGTTTACCTCTGTCTTTTCTACAAATATTTTCATGGCAACTGCTCTGACATGCCATTTTCACTGGTGCCCCCAACTGCATGAATTCAAGCGTGCTACTAGCTTGGCATCTCGGTCCCACCCTCTCACTGTCGAAACGGTTAAATGTAACAGCCTCTTCTACTCCAACAGCTTCTTCTCTCGCACTTGCTGACGGTGGAACTCGCTTCGGCTTACTTGTTTCCCTAATAACTATAACCTTCAAAAATTTAAATGTAATGTCAATCAACATCTTCTGATGCCTTGATCTTGATCCCCATCCTTCTCTTTATCCTTTCCTCAAACACCCCCTCTTTACGCGTAATTTCACTCTCTGTAACCCCTTGTGTGCTAGTGCCACTTTCTTGCTTAGGGTGAAATGCTTAAATATATATATATGTATGTATATATATATATATATATAAAAGCGAACATTGAAGTCAACACTTAGAGGCTGTTTCATGCCAGACGCAATCGTCAAGCCTGACGATTGCGTCTATGAAACAACCTGTTGCCTCTAAGTGTTGACTTCAATGTTCACTTTTATATTTCCACATGCTCTATCTGTGATATTGAGCAATGTATCCCATAAATATAGCACACCTTAAGAGTATATTTCTTCATATATATATATATATATATATATATTAAGGAATATCTCATTAAGTAATTTAGACAAGTTTTGTCTACTTATTTTAAATAGGATCCTCTCATAATTATGAAGAAGTTTTTTAGTGTCTTTATTAAAGGAAGAAAGAAACTTACTATGTTGATGCATATTCATTTGAAACTTACCATATTGATGCATATTCATTCTGAGTACTTTCAACATTAATACAATCACATCATCAGGGTCTTGTTTTTTCTAAGACAAAAAATTGTTGTGTTCATCCGAAAATTAAATTTTTATGTTTTAAGTGAAAAGCACTAAGGTTATGTACTGTACAGTTTTTAAATTTTATCATGTAAACATACATGCAAATGTCAAGGGAGTTAACTAAGTTATTAAAATGTCTAAATCCTTTTTTAAAGAAACATTATTTAAAACCGTTAGTTAAAACTAAGATATTTGAAACCATCTACTGTAAATTTTTTAAACATTTGTGCAGTATTCATAATTAATTTTATTAAGGGTTAGTTT